ACACACACACGACACACACACGACACACACACGACACACACACGACACACACACGACACACACACGACATAAAGGATATCCACTAGACACACATCCAAGCTGTCGCTGCAGTTGGTGCCATATGTGTTGGGGAGACACCTGGGGACATACACACTTTGGTCAACACATAACACACTCATGACACACACACACTACATACACACGGCAAAAACACGACACACACACACACACACACGACACACACACAAACGACACGTACACGACACTCACAAACTACACACACACTCACACGTTACACACACGTCACACACACCACACACACGACACACTCACACGACACACATGACACACACTGTGCTGCAGGGCTTGGAGGTAATATAGTTTATCATATAATTCATCATTTATCATAATGTACCATTTACCATAATTTATGATTTACCATAATATATCATTTATCATAAAGTATTATTTATCGTAAAGAATCATTTATCACAATGTACCATTTATCATAATTTATCATTTATCACAATGTATCATAATATATCATAATGTATTATTTACCATAATGTTTTCATATTTCATTTATCATTATTCACTTTTATTATAATGTATCATTTATCACAATGTATCATTTATTATAATGCATCATTTATCACAATGCACCATTTATCATAATGTATCATTTATCATAACCTATCATCATCATAATGTATCATTTATCATAATGTATCATTTATCATAATGTATCATTTATCATAGTTTATCACGTATCCCAATTTATAATTTGTGATAATTTATCATTTATCATAGTTTATCACTTTTCCATATTTATCATAATGTATTATTTATCATAATTTAATTTTTCTACTTATCATTTCTCATAATTTACCTTTCATCATAACTTATCATTTATCACAATGTACCATTCATCATAACTTATCATTTATCCAAATGTATCATTTATCACAATGAATCGTTTATCATTGTGTATCATTTATCAAAATGTATCTTTATCACAATGTATCATTTATAATAATTTATCATTTATCACAAAGTATCATTTATCCCAATGTATCATTTATCATAACTTATCATTTACATGTATCATAATATATCGTTTATCACAATGTATCTTTTATCATAATTTATCATTTATCCTGTGTGCCGACCTGCAGTAGTAGCTGTTGAAGAGATCCAGGCACTGCGCGGCGTTGTCACAAGGCTCCCCCAGGTCGGAGCACAGCTTGTCCTCTATCTCACACGTCTTTCCGCTCCACCCGTTGGGGCACACGCAGTGGAAGTCCGCCTGTCGGTCGTTACATACCGCACCGTGTAGGCAGGGGGCAGAGGCACACTCGTTCACTTCCTC